TATTTGTAGTCATCTTGATTCAGAACCCCTTGACTTTTCGGTGACAGATAGCCTTTCCTGTCAGAAATAAGTGGTGTGAGTTCTGCCCCCTAGCGGCTTGTTCTGGAACTGCAGGGGAGTTTCTGGCAAAATCATTTAAAGCGGATGAGTACACAAAGGAACAATTTATTTTCATCATTTTTGGTATTCAGGTAGCTTAGAGAGACATTTACATGATTAAATGCAAATTATGCAAATGAAGACTTAATTTGTAAACTTAAGGAGGAAATTCTGTAATTTCAGGTTTTAAGATGATAGCAATTTCATACATGCTTGTTTATTTGTTTGTTAATTTATTTATTTAACCAGGATATACATGTCGCCTATTGGCGGTTTTGAAAGATTCCTGGGGGGATAACCCCAACAAAACTACATGACATTATAATTATAACAAAAGGTTAAAGATGAACTAACAAAGGTCAACTAAAAAAAGAAAGATAAACTTGAACAAGACGAAATCGTAACTAACAATCAACAATCAAATGAAATAAGGTAACATAGAAGTAATTATAATCGTTGAGATATCAAATCATAATGGTAGATAGTCAAAAGGTATGTCAACTTAAAAGTAAATAACTAAAAGTGGAGTTTGCATATCAATGGAAAGAAATATAAATAATCAAATCAAAGAGACATGGAAAGTCAAGTAATACAGAAGTAACGGAACAAGTTGACCTTGGTATATCTGTGTCCAGTAGTTATATCTTCTTGATTGAAGATTAGGCGAGACCAGAGCGAGTTCCATGACGCCGCCCCAGAGCACGACGATGCTTTGAATTCTTTCTGTGCTCAGATTTGGCTTTGGGTAGCTGAAGGCCACCTTGTGACCTGAGTCGAGTATTGTGTTACATGAATTTCAGAAAGCTGTGTAAATAAAGCAGTATGGTGTGGAGGGGTCATGCCGTTGAGTGCCTTAAAGACAAGTGTAGCTTTGCTTCTCCTGTGTATGTCAGCTATTGTGCGTAAGACATTTGAGGTAGGTGTATAGCGATCACATCCCATGATCACCCGACCAGCTCTAGTTAGTAGTTTCTGAATTTTTCCCAAGTCACTTTTACCCCCCTGGTCCCAAACCGTGCTGCAATATTGTACATGTGGCAGGAAGAGTGTCGTGTAGAGTGTGAGAAGCGCCTGTGTATTCAAATATGGTTTGAGACACTTGATGATACCAATCAGTTGCGCTAACTTCTAATGTATATCTTCTCACAGTGATCATGCCAGTTTAGCATGCTGTCAATAACGACCCCGAGGTACTTGAATTTGTGAACTTGCTCAAGTGCAGTGCCTGCTAAGGTTAAGTTCTAAATTAGTGTTATTGCAGTTTGCTCTTGGCGATCTTACTAACATTGTTTTGCATTTGGTTGGCTTTAGCGACAGCTTATTTGCGGAAAACCATTAAGCAAGCCTGGTAGAGTCGCCCATGTAATGTATGTAATCTATGACAGGTGGAACATCAACAGATATTATGCAATGTATTACCTAATTTGCATAATTAATGTGAACATTCAGTGAATCCCTAATTGTGAATGATGAAAATGTATACCCTGTGACATGTGTAAGGTATTCAAAGGTTACAACCACTATGCATACATTATGTTAATGGCGGAATTTCACACGCAAAATATTGTAATTTGAGTTTAGAAAACCATAAATTAAAAAGGATTATGGTAATGAAGACCTTATGTCCATAATCAATGAGACAAATGACGAAATTAAAAAAAAACACTTAATATTTCTTGGAGGTATGAGGTAACCGAATTCTTGTTGTTTATTAGTTATTTTTTATGTAAAGAAGATGCTTAAATTCATAATTTTCTAACGATAGTAATTACTTGGCATAGTAACATGTGTAAGTCAAAGGTGAACATCGCTATCATTATGTAAATGATGTAAATGTCATTTGAAAGTGTGAATTTTTTATGAATCATAGTTTATATTCATCATTTGTACACTGCCATGGAGCCCAGTGATAATAAATATAGTGATAATAATGTAAAAGATCGGCATTGCGTGCTGTATGTATTCGTTGCGATTTTGAGTTGTTAATGACTTGATTTTTATAGGCACAAAGACAATGAAACTAGCCTAAGGGGCATACATGTGCATGGTTTAAGCCTCGGTCACAACCCGCCGTATGTGTTTTTTGTGCGTACGTTTTTTGGGAGGTCACGTCTGTAACGTTTTTCTGAAAACGTGGGGAAGGATTGTCATGTGCAGTACGTCAACGCACGTCACTCACACGTACGATCTTTGTGCGATTGCCCGTATATAGGCCGTACTTACACGTGCTGCCTACGCACGGTACGTACCGGTACGTACAGGGCACGCGCGTCGCCCGTACTGGCTCGTACGGGTTGTGAATCCACAGCCCGCACGTAGACAGTTTTACATGCGTGTCTGCGTGCTCGCAAATCTTCACCACTTATGGTTCCCCAAGATTTGCCCATGTACTTGCACGTAGACAGCACGCAGTTGCGCGTACGGCGGGTTGTGACCGAGACTTTAGCGACGCCATTGTACGATCGTTTAGTTATCAAAGTGCCATCGATTGAATTATCAACAATGTCATGGCATAGATTCAAAATGTATAAAACAGAGAAAATAGAATAAAAATGTGATGTAACTGTCCTAAATTGGCAACTTCCGAGTAACTGATAGATTCTCTTCTGAATATGATACACGACAAGATAAAGCGTAAAATAAATGAGACACATTTACTGTCTTCTTCCTCTTACTGTGGTCTGTTAGCTGTGGATTTGCATGTCTATATAATGTCAGTAGGTACGTCCTGCTAAATATGACTGTGTTGTTTGACTATATGACTGTTTGTTTAAAGCTAGTTTTCCACAATTTTTTATTTCATGGAAGAACGTGAGCTATACTGACGTCAATATTTAGAACATATCCCTGAAAATCTTCACATTGATTGATTTCTCATAGTATCATATAAAACCATTGGAAACATGTACTCTTTATACATTCATTAAATCTCAGAAATACATAAAAGGGTGATCAGTGAATTGTGTGGTCTCACCCGAAAGAAATGGTGGTGAATTCAAATTTATTTGAAACGACGGAAGAGAACAAATTTGACAGATAACATCCAAATATGTAACCTTACATTTACGAAGGACACTATTGGTTTCAGTAAACGCCTTGAAGGATCAAGTTGTGTGTACATTATTTTGAAGTTCACAGAGCAGTAACTGAAAAACAAAAACAATCCGTAGTCATGAATGGAGAAATAAATAAAAAATTGACGAAATTCCCCGTTGCCAGAGGTTTTGTCCATTCTGTCCAAAAGACGAACATTATACTGTTTACGACATGATGATAAACATGCGAAACATCCTTTTCGGGTGCTCATCTGACATGTACAAAATAGATAAACGCTTAAATTTTTAGCAGGATAAAACCTTTGTAGTGTACAATTAGGTAAGCATATCAAATAGACCTTAGAACTAGTAGTGTAAGTGGCACGTCAAATTCAACATGTTGATATATTCCGATAGCTGTATGCAGGTTAATTCATTGGTATATACAATGATTGTATGTTTAGTTGTAGTATTTCTGGACCTTACGAAACTCGCCTGTTGTGTCAATAACGAGTGCTATGAAAACGTCACTCAATCATGGCACGTAAAAGTAGACGTCACGTGGATAGACTTAAAAGGACCTTAGACCTGCGCGAGCTTGCCCTCTTATGAAAGAACGTTTCCATTATCTTCATCATGCAAACTGAGCCTTCGGGGAAATTATGGCCATTCGAAACGAGTCTCCTGACACATCATTCCAACACTCGACCCCCGAGACTTCAATGCAGGTCGAATCTGACACATTCCACTCCAGCGCTTTGACAGCTAGACGAACTGGCCTGTTCTACAACGACCCCTCTCGAAAAATGCTTTGCTTCAGTGAATCAGTTTTCTATAAAAATTGTGAACCTATTGATGAATAAATGATGCTATTTTGTAAAGACATGAATGTAAGACTGGTTTTGAGCAGACTCACTTAATGAGCAGGTAATATATATTTCACTTATATCTTTACTTTTAAGTTCAGTCATTTATATTTATTTATTTCGGTAGAAACCTCACTGCTATTCAACACCACTGTTTTTCAGGAATGCACGAGCGCACTCAGTATATATTGACACTGTCATTTTTGTCGTTTGAGCAGACCTGAAGAACTGATGAAGATTAATTACTTGTCTTTTACTGGATTCCAATCAGAAGAGGGGCAGGCATTAGCTCCATATTCTTGTTTTCTACTTTGATGTTGTGACTTTTATTGAATCGTTACTGATTTTGAGCTGTCTGGAAAACATGTCAGATGACCTTAAAGTACACCACTGTCAAAGGAGATAAAATGGACTGAAATGACTGGTGGCACATAAATTGGATAATGTATCTGACAGAAACTATTTGATAACATTTACTGTAACAGATATCTGTGATACGTCACAGTTATCTGTCTGCCTCACTGGCTTCTGTACCTCAGTATCTGAACCTACATACAAGATCGTTAAAATCGTGAACAATGGTGTAAACGTCAGTGAAGGTTGGGCATTCAGGTAATACGATACGCCAAAAACAGTTACTCAAGCAACTGGATATGATATTGGAAATGCTGTATCAAAGCAAGCAAGTCAATGGCACCAATTAAAGTAAGAATATAAATTTGTACATATAGGAGACCAGTTTCCTACAAATGTGCTGATGTCAGTGCTATTTGAGAAATAAGGTCGCTTGATTGGACAAGGAAACACATAAATAAATCCATTTCAATAGGGAGCGGAATAGCCCTCCATTGCTAAACCACTCTGTATAATTACTCATATTCGTTATTATTCCTTGCACATCGCAGCTCCCTGCACTGCACTTCTTGGCGGACGCCGACGTCAAAATCACACGGTACCATGGTTTCACAGGAGGTATTAAATAGAAATTCCCATCACCTACCTACATCTGCTGGATGGTATACATTCAGGTACAGACAGTCTTCATCCATACTTGTCAATAACGGCTTCATGGCCTTCCACTTCCTTCTCATAGACGGTCGTACAGGCTGAGACTCCGGCAGATCTAGCGACTGTGGGCATACGGGTGCAAAGTGCGTACAGTTCCGCACAATTTTCCATTTCTCCGGTTTTTCTGGCGGCCTGAAGCGGAGGTCTCTGACGGGTGCACGCGCGTAGGGGATACCCAGGAACTGCATGACATCTTGGAGGTTTGGGTTGTACTGGTGCATACGGACTCGCTTGCCGACTATCGGGCCGTACTTGGTGTGCACCAGAGGCCGATCATCACTGTTGCAGCAGGAGACGTGCAGAAGGATGAGCAGGATCCAGATGGGGGCAGGGATGACGAATACATGATGGACGCCGATTTTCCGTCACCTGTAGCTTCCACACACCTGTAAACCCTCCGCCAACAGCCGCCTCTGCTCTCTGCAAAGCATAACAGCCAACACACTCCTTAAACATGATCACACCGGAAGCTGGCGGAGAGATGCTGGGAAGTATTGCATTACGTATGCCGCTCACGCAGGGCCCATGAATCATTGAGCAGGCAACGGTGGATTCATTAGGACGGTCCGAGTCGCCGCACTGGCCTTGCGTCCATAATTTTACATCAAGGCGGCATTCTATTATCCAGAGAAAAATTGCAGTATTTCTATAGTCTTTATGCAGTAGAGGAACAAAAGATCTGCATATTTTTTGCTATCGGACAGCGATCATTGGAACAGCATAGTTGCATTTTCATTTCTCTTCAATCGTTCAATTCTCATGTATTGTTGTCATTTTGAATTCTTCATTGAGACGAAACATGCCCCATAGTGACAATTGTCATTATGATTTTCAGTAAATATTTATCTTTTGTAAACATAGCGTAAACAATAAACCACAAGATATAGGGAAGGCGATAGTATGATGTCACGTAACATTAAACCAGAAAAAGCCCAAGCACAAAATAATGCATTTCAAAAGCGTGAACGAGAAACAGTGTATTTACATCCATGGTGACAAATTCTATACATTCACACCGGATTAACCTTGCATTTGGGCGGGTAACTTTTCCCTTAAGGGTAAAACCTCGAAACTACTCGATACAATCTTATTAAACGGTAGGTGTACACGCAGGCAGCAATCTCATTTGGATCGGTAGCACTTCGTTCTTACTTTACTACGAAGGGCGTATCAAATTCAGAAATGCCCTTTTATCCTTCACACCTGTTATGAGAAGCATAGAAGCATGTGTGAATCCGGCATGTTGTACCGTCACCATTTTCATCACGGGAGTCCCCTAGGTCTGATTTTGTGAGACGAAATGTATCGTAGTAGGGAGAATTATCACATACTTTTTTCAGTCTATTCGTAAAGAAAACTTACAATCGTCTTAGAATATGTTTATCCTTTGCTCTAATGCATAATAACATGATTTGACTAATGGAATGTTTTTGATAGTCTTACTTTATTGTTTAGTCAATTTGTTAGTTAGTTAGTTCGGTGTGTTAGCTCTATATTATTTTGTATCTATTTTGATTTAATTTGTTTGTTTCGTTGTCACTTATTTACAATACACGTGTGTAAAAAGAGGTCATAAAAACAATTGGATTTTAGGAGAACCCACTCGATAAACCCTTATGTTTCTTGGGTTCTCCCGCACATTTGGTTGTACATAGTCATTACATACTGTTTTTATTTTTATGTGCAAACTGGCAATAAACAATAAACAGTAAATTCTACCTTCGTGCCATGAGAATAAGTAAAAAATAACACTCACTCAAAATTCTGATTTGCTATCATCATCGTCGTCATCATCATTAATCCAGAACAATAATTGTGGGTTTCAAGTTTCAAGTTTATTAATAAAATCAGCCTTGCAGCCAGTGCACAACCAAGCTGAATGACACTGATTTTTTTTTTACAATTTTGTACATAGTAAATACAAATTAACATTACAATACATATACAGACACGCAAACAAATACATTACAAAGCCACACATGGGCACTGAAGTAAAGTCCAGAGAGTCTTGAAAGTCATTACTGCAAAGACTCGTTGTACAGGCATATTGCCTTGTGTAAGAAAGAGTTTTTTTTTAGGTATGTGTCCTTCCATCTCTAAAGATATACAAGTATTACTAATTTGCTGAAAAAGATGACACGACATACAGGTTGTCAAAAATAAATAGAATATGGTCCAAGTTTATCTATACCAAGAAATACCATATATTACTATGCTTATTTGTATCAATGGGAATTTTATCATTTCCAAGCAGTTTATGAGGCGAAATCGTTGAAAAACCCTTGATGCGCCTAAACC